CGATTTTTAATATACGTATTAAAATTCACTATCACATTTAGCGCAGTAATAATTTTTTTTAAACTGTTTCACTACTTTCGTATTTTACATTCGCACGCGCTATCATAATTTTAATTTTTTTCTGTTTTTGAATTTTTTTTTAATAAAAGTCAACCACAGCCTTCAACTACACCCACTTATAACCAGACACGCATTTGTGACCGCAAACACTTCATTGAATGATGGAATTTGGCTGTGTGTTCGAGTGTACGCGCCTAAAAGCAGACTCCAATGCAAAAGAAAAACACAACGCAACAAACTGATTGTTGGCCGACGGCTAGCCTTTGCAATGACAATTGCAGCAACCACAAACAGCGAATGACTACGAAATGTATTTCATTCACAAAATTCACTGACGCCTACGATTTGCCCAGCGCACACGCGTTTCACTCGTTTATTATTTTTTTTTATTTTTTTTTTGCTGTCACCCAGCTAGGTGACTTCGAACATTAGTGAACTTTTTGCTTGGCGGCTTTAGCGTTGGCGTTGACCAGCGAACAACGAGCAGCGTAGCAGACTTTTATTTGGCACGCAAGCGAGAAACAAATCAACATTTACCGTTTTTCCGTCCGAAATACACTCGAATTGTTGCAGCACGTGACTGACTGTGCGGCCTGTAACGCCTTTCGTTTTTATATTAACTCAAGTAACTCAGGATTTGCGTGAGTTGCAGTGTTGCATTTTTATTGTGATTTTTAATTTTTGCTGTTATTGAATTTGCATTACGCTCTGCAAAATACGAGCGACTTTTCCCATTTTCGCAGCTGCAAAGCTGATGATTTTTCTGCACTTCCTTGACAGGCGATACTCAGCTGTGAGCGAATATTCTCTCTTGCAGTATTTTGCGCGCGTGCTCTCCCTCTCTCCTTCTCTCAGCCAGAGCTATCTTTCTCTGTTTTGGGCGCTTATGCTTACACTTTCGCTTGACTACGCCACACTTCACTTCACTGCACTATCTGGCTGGCTACCAAGCGATTTTGACACTCCACTTTGACCCTTCTTCTTCCTGCTGTTTCACCTACACTTTCCGAATTTAAGACTTAAAAACTACTTTTTGTCCTTTGCAGAAACATTTCTTTCACAACTTTCTAAGCAGAGTTTTTTTGGATTTTTTTTATAATAAAACTTGTGCGTTTGCTATTCAATAACATTTCTTTTTAGTCTATTTGTTTTCTACACACTGACTCATGCTCTATTTTGCACACTTTCTCTTTACATTCTCTCTCACGATTTTTCGTTGGGGCCTTGTAAAGTTGTATATTTATAAACGCCATACAAAATTGTGGTGTGTGGTGTGCGGAGGAGGATTGGCTGGCATACCGATTTATTTTTATCCGTTCACTTTAGGACACATGCACTTCTCGACAATTCGCCTTTGACTTTCCTTCCCTATCCACTACACGCATATATCCTGCAATAAACAATCATTCAAAGTCTTATCAATTAACTGGGTTTGCAGTCTAACTGTTTGGCTTCTACTAACCACTACTTTCAAATCATTTGCTAGTAGGCAATTTTTTCATACAATCTTCGCTTTCAACGCCCAAAAGCGCTTTCACTTCCGAGTAGCAGTCAATTTTATGTTCTCAACATTTTTATTGCGCCCAACCTTCACCTTTCACATGTCTCTTCTTCTAATCGCACTTGGTTGCACGCTTTCTCCTCCACACCCTTCCGTCTTTTGTTAAAAGTATAAATATTTAGTCGCGTGTTTTTTCTTCGATGAATCGCTACCGTGATTGCCGCCGCATCTGTCTGCCTTTTTTTTTGTCTTCTGCACCTCTTACCCACAGCAGCTTTTCCTTTTTTTGTTTGTGACAACTACACTGTAAAATGTTTCTTTAGCTGCTTCACTTTGCTGCTACAACTGCAGTAACGACCTCGCGCTCAATCGCTTGCCACTTGACTGACATTTGCGGGAGTTATATGTGACAGTTAGAGCAGCGTTTAGTAAGTGAAAGAGACTCCATGGCACCGTGGCACATACATAAGTTGTAGGGTGAGTAGGTCACATGCGCATTGCGACAGACGAACGAGTTACTCAGCTCAGCTGTGAAGTTTAGAAATGTCAGCGTGACAGCTGTTTACTGGCGCGCACACATGCAGCTAAATATGCATACGTAAATACATACAAACACTTTCACTAGCCAGCGCAACACAAGCACTCAAACAAGTCTGCTAAACTGTGCAGCCTTTGCTCCTTTTGCTACGTTGCTGTGCTAGTGGCGGCTATTGTTGTTGGCGTTGGCATTAAGTAGGTCAATGTCAATTTTGTTGGCCTGAACCTCTCGGCGACCGTAATTTTCCGCTCTACAAGCTCAGCAGCTTTTAGTAAACTTTTCATAAAAGCTCCCAGCTCTGTTGCGTGCACGTTGCACCTGTTGCTCGCTCTATTGCTCAGATAGAGGTTTTACTCTGTGCGCGTGCATATAAAATCTGCAGAGAGCTTTGAAGATTTCCGCCCACGGGCGCCGTTTTGAGCATCACTGCTGCATTGGGAAATGCTAGAATGCTTTTAAAGCTGTTATGGGTACTGTCTTGTCTGCAAGCAAAGCTCTTTTAAGCTTTCTATACACTTTGTATAGGCACTAGCAGAGTAAAAGCTCTATCTGCCCATCACTGTTATAGAGAAAAATTAACTCTTAGGAAATGTTATCAAGTTATATAGCTTATGAAGGTTATTTTATTCTTTATAGCGCGTATGTTAAGAAAAAAGTTTTTAAGTGTGTCCTATGAAAGCTTTTATAAAATAAAATTTTCGGAAAAAACTCGGATAGAGAAACGTGGAGGTCGTCTAAATTGCTGACCTAAATAATACTTGTATACGTTTGGAAGCTTTTTTAACAGTTATTTCAATTTCCAACTTTAAAAGTTTGAAAATGTTTTACTTCGCCCCAGCGATGTCGCAATTGTTAATAATATTTAAAACCCCTTTTCAGAGTAGAGGTTATATTTCTGAATCGCCGGACCTTCAACACATGGAACAAATAATTTTATTTGATCGCTTTATAGGTGAAAAACTAATTAAGTTAGCGATGTTTTGTCCAATTTTGGCTATTGTCCTAATTTAATGATTACACTGGATCTCAAACTTTGTTTTTTTTTATCCACCGGATGCCAATATCCAATTCCTATGAAGAATTTCTCGGTGATTCTGAATATCAAGTTATTTTTATTCTATGTGGACAACTTTTCGAGATATTTTCAAATTAAGATTATTCAGCTTTAAAAAATTTAGTTCCACTTAATCACGCATATCTTACGAACCGATTGAACAATCGTAGTACGAGATACAGTAAATAAAGCCAACGAGATTTTCCTTAAACCACATATACATTACTTTTCGATGGAATTGATAGTTTCTGATAAGTTGATTAATTATTCCAATTTTTTTTTTGTTATGAAAATATGCAAAGAAATCAATTTTTAACAGGAGAAAAATTAAAAAAATAACAGATTCTGTGTAAATTTTTCGCATTTGTGTTAAATCCTGATCTGTTGCAAAAAAAAAAACTCAAGTTACCAATGAAGAAAATAAAAAAGATTTTTTGTATGAAAAATGATCAGGAAAGAATGTTACGCCATGTACACCTGAGTAACACTCTTTTCTAGTGTTGAAAAGTATCGAGTACTTTTGAGGTTGAGTTCTTTGGTATCGATACTTTTAAGGATCGGGTATTTTTCAGAATACTAAATATACACTTGTTGTTATCATTTCAATGACTAGTGTAGAAATCTTGCAAGCTGGCAGCACTTTATTCAAATTAATATATTAATTCCAAATTACGTCAAATGAATGGCTACTAAAAAAAGGCCGGTAAATGTAATTAAAACTAAGCACTTTTTACTATCTATTCAGTACTTTTAAGTATCCTGAGTACATGTATCAAAGAGATGATTGGAACCGAGAATTTTTGAGTACCGAGTACTTTCGAGTTCTTTTGTGAGTACTTAGTACTTTTGAGTTTTTTTAGGTTCTGAGTACTTTCGAGTTCTTTCGTGAGTACTGAGTACTTTGGAGTATTCAGTATCGATACTTTTAAAAATCGGGTGCTGTCGATTCTTTTGAGAATCGAGTTCTGAGTGCTTTTGGCATCGATACTGCCCAAGACTAATTTTTATCAAAAATTCTCTTTGATTTGGGTTAGTTTGATATTTTGCTAAGAATCTGCTTAATTGCTTTTTCAGAATTCACTAGTCCCTTTTTATTACTTTTGACCGCTGTAGTCCCATTGTGTACCACTCTGTGACTGTCAAATTTACAAATCTACAAATCTCGCGATCCCTGTCTCAGGGTAAATTTAAATGCAGACTCTGTTGCCATTCTAGTGATAATTTCATAAACAAACCGTTTAGATAAATGTGATAACTTTAAGCAGAGGACAAAGAATTCAAAAAATAAATAAGAAGTACTACCTACAGATTCTTGAGGCACACAGCAGACGCCAACATTTTGATTCGCGGAGTCTTCATTGCAAAACCATAATAGATTAATAACCATGTAAAACTCTGAACTAATGTCATTCGGGATGACGTCTAAAATATTTGCGAGCTTTATAAAAGCATGATCAAAGTCACATAGGTTCAATGATTGCAAGAACTTGAGCATGTTATGGACATGAAGATGCCTCCTTGAAAAGATCATTCGACCATGGCGCCCAACGAAAGAAACATGGATTGAATCGATTTTTTAGCAAAATAGTGTGATTCTAAATTTGGCGAAGGCGCCAAATGACATTTTCTGACAATTCATGTACTAAGTTTTTAAATTATAAAATAGTATAAATGTTGTAAATTTAATTGTTTCAAGAAAAGCATAATTTCATGTAGTTATACATCGTTTTAAGGTTTACTTAAGCCTTTTTCGCACAATAAATCTTGGAATACCAATATGCAATATTTCTTCAAAACGACTTTGCTTGTATTTAGTAATTCAAGTAGATCAGTACTGTTGCACTCACCTGCGCTTTAATGGCGGCAAAATGTAATTGCTTAGCTCGCAAATCAAACTTTTTCAAAGACAAGTCCTCCTGTAGCTCGTTGACCTTGTTGTAGAGTTGACCCTCGATGCCACGTTGCTGCGTACGATTCAAACCATCCACGGTATCCTAAGTGAAGCAAATTTTTTTTAAATCATACTCATTTATTTATTTAAAATAATAATATATGGGATGAATCTAAAATAAAGGACGCTATTCGCAGGTAGCGTAAATTATATAGACTAAAGGCTATTTATTTTGGAACGAATTTCCGTCATACCTTGTCAAGTTTGGTTTGCAGACAAAAAAAAATGGCACTGAAGATGGCACAACGCCGAAACCGGTTTGTCTGCAAAACAAACTTGACAAGGGATGACGGACATTCGTTCCAAAATAAATCATCTTACCACCCTGTCGGAAAAATCAACCAACACCAACACACTAAAGGCTAACTTAATTTTAAAAGCTGCACGAAAACTGCAGTCATAGGAAGAACTATACAGTTATTAAAAACACATGGTTTAGCTACTACTTTTCAACCCTTTGGCAAAAGTTTACCTCTAAGTAAAAAAAAAATATTAAAAACTTAATATTTTGCATAAGTTCCTTGCAAATTTTAGACATGTCTGCTGAGCGAACGGCAAAATAAGCAACAGCAATAAATTCGAAATCAATTTCATAAAAACTCAATAGCACCAGACCCCCACTATACATATATGTAAATATAAATATTTACCTGTAATAAACGTATTTGCATTTCCAAATCATTCGCCTCTCGCTTCAGTGATTCCAGTGCTGGTCGCAGTGCTAATGTTGAATGACGATCGAAGACCAGCTCGTTGCGCAAAATTGGAGCCATCTCCTATGCAATGGATTTAAAGATAATTAAATTTAGTTTTTTTCATTAGCTAAAAATAAAGTAACACCAAATGTGATCGAGATGCAGGTAGGCTCACTAATGAGGGGGTGAATATTTTATTCAGTTTATATGAGACATTCTTTTTCATATCGGACAACAATTTGGTGTCACACTTTCGATTGGCTTCAAATTTTTTGTATTGGTTCTATACATGAAATAAGCTAACACGTATTCGAGGATTTTTTTTTTAATTTTTTTTTTCTTCGTAGATATGATCTTTTAAAGTTTGCTTTTTTTCGTTATTGTGATTAATCATGTACTAATTCAAATCGTTATATATCGGCATCTGCGCATCTTAGGGACTTCATCTTAACGTCGTTTTAAAGCTAACTTAGCTATTAACAGTTGAACTTTTTGAAGATGATTTGCATATTGACGATCAGTGAATTAGGGATTTAAAATTATACCATCGTATTCCTTCTTTAATTCTCTATAAAAAAAAAAAACATGTTTTGAAAATTTTGACGTTTTTCAAGAACTATTTTTAAAATTGTTTTATTTTTTTGTGACAATTTTGTCACTGATTGTGACGAACTGATTTAAATCGCATACAGATTTCATTCATTTACAACCCTGCATCCGCATCACGGGATCACATAGATTTAAAAACTGTCAAACTTTTATTGGAAAATTCACACAGATCGCAAAGCTTGTATTGTCGGTGTTTATATGTGGAGGGCTTTGGAATTCTAGAAGTCTTAATTTCTGTAACTACGAAACGGCGAAAAATATGCGACACAACGTAAATAAAAAACCTTATTTCCTTCAATTTATTATTTGTTGTGTAGTTTATCGGCTGACCTCATAGCACATAGAATGAAAGATAGTCTTGCCTTTACCTTGTCACTCTGATATGCGTGCAACTTCTTTTATAAAAGCCCTTTGTGGGATGCTGATAGTGTTGCCTGAGCAATGGCATGCAATACCGCAATAAAATTAAGCCGAGCAGTCCACCCTGCTACGCATGCATTCAACTCAGCTTGGCGCGTCGAACTGGGGTGGGGTTTTTGCGAAGAAGTGTATCTGTTTTCAGCTTACCACCCCTAAAACTATCATATCTCTTATGAGACCACTGAATAGTTTGCATCCCGTCGTATTACCATTGTGTGCCGCCGTCCTGTCCAGTCTTTTGGTTAACATCCATGAGTTCGAGGCTTTCCCAATCGCCCCTTCCTCCGTCGCTGACGATGATCTAAGTCGATCAGCCCCTAAATCTGCACCGTGAGGTCTTATCACAACTTGAGCGTCATTCGGTCCGACTGTTTTTTCACGCTTCACCCAGCCAAAACAGTCATTTTACTGGTTTAACTCGATGACTTGACTCGATTGAGTTGTTATCAGTGCAAGCCTCATCAATATCGGCACAAGAAAAAAATAGAAAGCGACACATGGAAGGTAGCCGAAATTTAATATTTCTAATGCTTATTTAGTTGCCTTCCGGAATTCAAATTTGCTTCCCACATAATTTCTGAAAATATTACCAAGTAACTGGCTCATCCATGGGAAAGTAAATCGAATATAGATCTTTTCGTCCGGTATATGTTTGCCTAGCCAATATAGACTAAGGTGGCCGCCTTAGTTGAAACTCTTCTGCAAGGAATTGGAATGTGGCCAATAGCAAGACAAACCTTAAGGAATCTCATCAAATCCACTATGAGCCTCCATGCTGTAGCGTATTCGAATGTACGTCGTATAGACCTAGTGACTTAAAGCACGTTCCTATACCTTCCTTCTGATATTAACTAAATACTAAATTTATTTTCGATAACACACTTGAGTAATTGTAATTTATTTAAATGGGTGAGAGGTTTCATAAAAAAACTAAATATTTATTTCTAAAACTTATTTCTTAACGTTTTTACTTGTTGACAAGTTTCTTGAAACTCAATTTAAAATATTTTTTTACAGTATTGATGGGCCCCATCAAGATCACATATGATATCTCGATATGATTATACATTTTACTTAGCACTTACATTGAAATCCCCCGTATCGTCGACCTCGCCCGGTGGTTGTGGCGGTGCAAAAATGCGCTTAGGAACTTTTTGCGCCTGCGATGGCAGCGGCAGAATGCGTACGAAATTTGTGAGGTCCTGCGCCGCTGACACTGAGCTGCATTGTATAGTGAGTGAGCTATAACGCTTCGCTTGCACTGTAGCCTGCGAAATGAATTGTGGTAGACAATAATGAATATAAATGGACAAAGACAATTTAAAAAAAACGCTTAGAATTTGATATGAATTAATTGAATTAAAAAAATGTTTTTGTTTTAAAACTAATAACTAATTTCGAATAAACTCATTCTATATATACACACATACATATATGCATTGGTATAAATATAACTTTACACGTGGCCATTGTAATGGAAAAAATGATTAAAATTAAACAAATATTCACATCGATTCCATATGGCTATACATGGTCTCTGCGAATTTTTAATTTTTGTTAAAACAACCACAATATTCGTATATTGTGGCACTCCTACATTGCTTAACCCTTGTGAGAAACCCCAGGTACAGTTATACCTATTCCCACCTTTAAACGTTAAAAATTTATTTTATAATTCTAGTAGAGGAGTAGGCTTCCTCAAGTGGGCCCCGAATTTACCACGATTAATATTTTTCAATAATATTCAGGCAGCGCTGAGTTTTGTAGTCGAAAAGTACACTGTGAAAATTTTGTTGCAAAATTCGAAATAGTTTTTTTTTTAACAACAATTGAAAATTTGTGCAGTGTTTTGGAAATTTTTATTTTTGATATTTTGTTGGTTAAAAAAAAAAACTATTTGGAATTTTGCAACAAAATTTACACAGTGTACTTTCCGACTACAAAATTCGGCGCTGCCTGAATATCATTGAAAAATATTAATGCTGGTAAATTCGGGGCCCACTTGAGGAAGCCTTGCCCAGAGCTTTAATTTTATTTTACCCTAAAACTAAGTTTTCTAAATCCATTTTGGTTAGTGCCACGTTCTTAAGACTTTAAAAAGGTAGACTTTTGTTAAGATTTTTAAGGTTATATCCTAGATCATATATACAAATGTACCTAAGAAAATTAATTTGCAAATAAATTCATACAAATGTTCACAAGTACACCGTTAAATGTTTATAATTTTTTTATATGGTTCATGGTTAACCGCACATTGTACGCGCGCATAATTTGTTTAAGCCACCTTTCTTGTGTCAACTGTGGCCAAACTTTTACAGATGTGCACACAAGCACAAACATTTGCAATAACTATTTATTAATTTACATGTCCGTTTGTTGTATTTCCATGAATTCGTTTAAAAACATTTTTTTTTTTTATTCTGAGATATTTATGTGTATGTATGTATGTATATATTCATCATGGTTATACGTTTGCAGTTTATTTATGTCCATTGTATGTATGTATAGGTAACAATCAACATAAACTGTGGAATACCAAATGAATGCGAAAATGTATTTTCAATGCAAATGTATCGATTGCACAGAAATAAACAAAAGAAACAATGCAAATTCAGTTAATTACTTAATAAAGTGGTTGAATACGTTGTGTCAGTTATTGTTGTATGCAACTTTATGGCACAGGCAAATAAGCCAAGCCGTCCATTTCGGATGAATGCATGGACAATATTTAAGTAAATTACGGGCTGTTAAATCACTGCATTGTACTGATAGAATTTAAGAAATTTCCAAGTAAAAATTCGAAATGCAAAAATGGACTGGGTATTGTCGTACTGGCTCATAACCACTCTAAAAGAGAGACTGTTATGACTTTTATAATAAAAATCATAGCTTAACAGTTAAAACTGCATTTATAGTGTTCTGATCAAAATTATACGTCATTTTGTGATTTTAATTTTTTGGATCAAAAATAATCATTACTATTGGATTTTTATTTTTTCGGTCATATTGCAACCGTTATACATATTCAGATTTAATTTTTTGGATCCTAAAAGCTTTCAAACCAGAATAACGAATATTTGTTATCAAAAAAAAAATCCGACTTTTACTTAATTACTCCTTAAATAACCCCTTAAATAAATGTTTTTTCTAATTTTTATTTCATAAATCCAAAATAACAATTATTTTTGATGAATTTTTCAATGAGAGGTTTCTTTAATAACTGTTATGTTCGGCCCCTGTTCCAAATAAAATTCAAAAAAGCAAAATAATTTTTCACTTAACTTGGCTGTAAAAGTTTGTCTTCAGTTTGTGTCCATTAAACAGATGAGTGAAGGTCGTGCCCTTGTCGTATCTCCTACTATCAGGTTATATGTAAATACCCAAAAATTTTAAATCAATTTTTGTTGCACCAACAATATACATACACATGTTCAGCTTTAAATATTTATTATTTGATACTACTATGAATATTATATGTTCAGTCAAAAAAATTTACGTCGAATTGGTAAATGAAAAAAAAATATGAACACAATTTTTAAAAGGTCACCATTTCATGTCGAACTGAATGACAGACAAGTTTTAGTCATAGCTAAATTCTAACAAATTTAAATTTTTGAACATGCAAGAATTTTGTTGCAAATAAATCTATTATTGCCAATAAAAAAAATTCCCTTAAGGAGAATAAAGCAGTTATTTCTCGTATCCAAGTCAAGCTCTTCCATTCAACGAAAGAACAAATTAAACAGGCCTTTACTGATAACATTTCAAAATGTTAAATGCTCACAGAGGATGCATAATTTCCATGCAAGGTATGAGCTCATACATTTTTAACCTAAAAAAAAACAAAATTAAAAATAAAAACTCACTACATGCCTATATGAATTTTGTGCACTCTCTTTCGGTGGCGCGTCCATTCGTGACTGCCACCTACAAATCGCAAACGAATGTCATAAATTGTTTTCCCTAAAGCAATTCATTCCGTTGATCCAATGCACTATATTTATTCGCCTCGTGAAGAAATATATGTATGTATGAACATATGCATGTTCGCATTTAACACTTTTCGGCCTCTGTGAGCATGAGCCATTCACACAGACCCGCCGACGGATACACCACACCACACACTCACTCACTCACTTAAATACTATTTATGCATGCAGCTTACTTACCTTATTCGCAATAACATCGGCACCCTGTAGTATCGATTCGGCGATAATACTGCATAAATCATTGTGTATCTCCTCCAGTTCTTGCATCAATTGCGGCACCGTCTCACAATGGTATGTCTCCAGCATGGCATTGGTGGCATGCAACTGTTGCACGTACGCATTGTGGGCATCAATGTATTCGGTGAGTGAAAGTTGCGTGGGATTTTGACGATGCGATATGTAGCATTGTTTATAATCCAAACGACACTGCAATGAAACAATAACAATATATGCGATTAAATAACGGCGGCGAAGGCAAAGAGTGTAAATATGTATGTATGTGCGCGCATAACTATTGTGTGAAGTCATGATCATTTGTTGAAGAACAATTATTTAGCACTTTTGATTGCTGCAACTTGGCGCAATCGCTTAGGGTAACTTTCATTGATACATAAATGGTTAGCGAAATAGCTTGTAGAACGTGCAATATCGCAATTTCTTTAGATTGGCTATAAGTTGAAAATGGCGTATGAGTGATATTTGAATATTTACTTGTACTCTTGCGGAGTACTTAATTCCAATGTTTAGTACATTCATGTTTTCTCCTTCTTCTTATTTGGCGCTGTTACCGCCTAAGCGATTTTTATCGAGTTCAACAAAGCACGTCAGTCGTTTCTCTTCTTTGCCAACTGACGCCAATTTAAAAATCCAAGTGAAGCCAAGTTCTTCTCCTTTAGGTCTTTCCATCTCAGTGGGGGCGGCCTCCCTCTTCCTATGTTTCGAGTTGATCCTATTCTAGCGGGTCTTTTCCAAGATTTGGCGTATTGTGAATACCTGATCTATGGTGGCTTTTTCAGGCCTAAAGCCACACTGATAAGGTCCAATCGGCTCGTTGACGGTGGGCTTCAGTCTTTCGCGCAATTCTTAGAAGGCTGATTGCCCGGTATTTGGCACGTATGGCGGGATCGCCTTTCTTGTAGATTGGGCAGAGTACAGTTAAATTCCAGTCGTCGGGCATGCGTTCATTTGACCATATTCTGCATACGAGCTGATGCATGCACCTCATCAGCTCCTCGCCGCCGTACTTGAATACCTCGGCTGGCAGGCCGTCAGCTCCAGCAGCTTTGCTGTTTTTCAGCCGCGTAATCGCTATTCGTACCTCGTCATAGTCAGGNAGCTTTGTTGTTTTTCAGCCGCGTAATCGCTATTCGTACCTCGTCATAGTCAGGCGGGAAGACAGCTACTCCATCGTCTCCGCCTGGGGACTCGGGCTCGTCTTCTTCACTACTTTCAGCGCTGCTACCATTCAGTAGGTTGTAAAAGTGTTCCCTCTACAATTTATGTATATTCTGGACATCGGACACTGGGTCACAATTGTTGTTCTCACAGGAGTTCGCCCCGCTCTTGAAACCTTCCGTAAATCGCCTAACCCTCTGGTAGAATTTTCGGGCGTTCTTCCTGTCGGCCAGCATCTCAAGCTCTTCGCACTCACGTATTTCGGCCTCTCTCTTCTTATTGCGGCAAATACGTCTCGCTTCCTTCTTCACTTCCCTATAACGGTCCTACATAGCTCGCGTTGCGCCCGATCGCAGTGTGGCCCTATAAGCGGCGTATTTTTTCTCTGCGGCTTCTTAACATTCCTCATCGTACCAGTTGTTCTTTCCGGCTCGCTGAAATCCAACTACTTCTTCAGCGGCGGTACTTAATGATCGAGAAATGTGGTTCCACTGGTCGCGTATGTCGGATTGTTGAAGAGTGCTCTCAGAGAGCAGGTGTGTGAGTCGAGTGGCGAATAAATTGGCCGTCTGTTGTGATTGCAGCTTTTCGACGTTAAGCTTTCCTTGCATTGTTGGGCGCACATTTTTTGCTGCACAGAGGCGGGTGCGTATCTTGGCTACAACAAGATAGTGGTCCGAGTCGATGTTTGGCCCTCTGAGTGTACGTACGTCTAAAACGCTATCACAACCTAGTACTACATATTACCATGTTTCGGGGTCCGGCGAAATCGATCAGCCTCAGTTCGTTATCAGACGTTTCGTCGTGGAGGCTGAATTTTCCGACAGTGGCGCCAAAGATCCCTTCCTTGCCCACCTTGGCATTAAAATCGCCAAGCACGATTTTGACATCGTGTCGGGGGCAGCGCTCATATGTACGCTTCAAGCGCCCATAGAAGAGATCCTTGGACGCCTCATCCTTCTCTTCCGTCGGGGCATGGGCGCAGATGAGCGAGATGTTGAAGAATCTAGCTTTGATGCGGATTGTGGCTAGACGTTCGTCCACCGGGGTGAACGCCAGTACTCGGCGACGGAGTCTCTCTCCTACCACGAATCCAACACCGAATTTGCGCTCCTTTACGTGGCAACTGTAGTAGACGTCGCAAGGCTTCACGCTTACTTTACCTTGCCCCGTCCATCGCATTTCTTGGATGGCGGTGATGTCAGCCTTTGTCTTCCCGAGGACATCAACCAGCCGGGCAGAGGCGCCTTTTCCATTAAGGGTCCGGATATTCCAGGAGCATACCCTTAAATCATAGTCCTTTATACGTTTTCCGGGGTCGTCATCAAAAAAGGGGGTCTCATCCGAGGCTGTTTGTTCTTTTTCATTGGGCGGGGTTTTAACGTGGCGTGGTTTTAACCCAGCGCACGCGAAGTTCAGTTTCTCACTTTAGCTCGCTGCCAAACGGGTGTTTGGTTGCTACCCAGAGGATACGTGGATATAAATATCCGGATATTGTGAGCTGCGATTTGAACCGTACGCACAAGAATTTCTTCTGGCCACTCCCAGGTGAATGGCAGTCAAAAGTTTTCCACTTCTGCACACGGAACCATCCTCCACACTTGTGCAATGGCCAACGCGAAAATTCTTATCAGGCACTGCGTAGCAAAGCGCACATTTTCCAGTTATTTTATGTTGTATATCGTACTTATGTGTATCTACAGCATTATGCTCAAAAATCCTTTCACTGCTCTACTTGGCACAAGTAAATATTCTAGCAAGTGTTAACCAAATTATTTCCAAAATTAGGATTATGACGCTAAGTGCGTTCAAGTGTCACGAGTGAAGAAATAATCAAATAAATTAATGCAACACTCGCTTGCTTGAGTACCCGGGTAAAGTTTATGTCATTGGCGGTACCATCCTCCTGCTCTCCTGTTGATAAATTGTGGCATCTCGGAAATTCGCGACTGCAGCAAATGCGTCGTAAGCCATCCTAAGCTGAACTAATGCGAACACTCAACGAGTTTTCACTCTTATAGGAATAAGTATTTTTGTACTTAAATATGTACATATGTATTTAAACGTGTGCTTTATACCTGGCTAGCCGTAAATACATGAGAAATACTGCCACGCATTCGTATATACATATATATGAAAGGATAAAGCTACTCACACATACATATGCAGGTCCTGCTAAATAGTAGTACCATTATATATGTCACCTGTGAAAGATTCATACTTCAAATGGGATTCTAGTTTTCCTCATTCTTTTATACTTTATTTTACGAGAACGTTCTCTTATTTTTCCTTTTTTTATTTTTCACTGTTTGCTGTTTTCTTTTGGCCACAAGTCGCATCATCTTTTATTTAACTTTTACAATGCAGTTCGGTGCCCGCACGGTGGATATTTTCAAAGAAAGGAAATGCCCAGCAGCACCACTGTGATACGTGACGAACAAAGGTAGCCATGGCGCACCGTGCAGGTTAACTTAATATAACGGTATTCATACACACAGTGACTCAAAAAAGTGACAACGTTTTGATTATTTTTCTTTTTTAAATATTCATAATATTTTTCGAGTTACTTAAAACCAAATAAATTACAGTTTCACACTTAATAAAATTTTTTTTTGAATACTCAAACAATGTTTAACAAAATTTCAACTTTTGAATCTGAATCTTTGGAAAAATTTTTTTTTTTTTTGGGGACGGATTTTTGCACTTTTTCCATATAAGCATGAATTTCTTACGAAATAAAATGAGGAGACCATTTGCAACAAAATTTCAAAAAATCAACGCCACTTGTTATATAAAAAAAATCGCATAAGTAGTTTCCAAATATAATTCTCTAAAATTAAGAAAATTATTTGGCCGGTTAAAACTAGCACTTCATCACACTGGGTTATAAAACTGCATACTCAGAAATGTTTTAAATATTCAGATTAAAAATTTGAAATTTTTATCAAAATTTTTAGAATTTTCATAAATTTTGTATAAGGTTAGAAACTGTTATTAATATGATTTTGGTTGGACAGTATCTATTTTTATAGAGAAAAAAAAATAAAAAAATAAAAAACTTCCTCGAAAAACATTACGCATATTAAAAATATAAAAATTAACACGTGGTCCCATGTTTGAGATACTGTGTGTATGTGCATATATTTATATTATTTGTATACATATGAACATGTGTCATTGCATACTTTTGTGAAGTCATGAATATTTTAGCGTCGCCTAAGAGCATTGGAGCTCTGCATTTTTTACTTCCATTTTCATTGATTTTTTGTTCCCATCGGCTTTAGACTTTCTTTCTACTTACAATACATTGTATGTAGCATTAAAGTTTTGAGCCCAACTCTTTATGTCGTTAGGTATTTTGTTTTTTGTTATTTTATTTTTATTCTCTTTTCGTATTCAGTTTCCTTTGTCACTTACCTTCGACAGCTTCTCTTCAGTCTTTGCGATAATAGTCTCAAAAGACTCCCTGTGTGTGAAAATTTTCCGACTTTGAACTTTACGATGAAAGGATTTATCGAGCATTGGACGTGACACCTGCAATGAAAATGTGAAAAAAAAAAATATTGTTAAAAATTAATTAGGTTGCTTTGTAAAAATAAGCAACAGGAAAAAATGTTGTGGCTAAAAACTGATTACTCCCAGCAGTCAGTTATTTTTGCAGCTTCAGAGTAATTATGAATGTTATAAAGCCAAGTTTCTTTTTACAACCTACAAACACTTGTTGCATGCTTAACTGCCGCTGCTGACAGACACAACAACAAATTTCTTCTTTTTTTAAGCTTTTCGTTTACGCGTAGTAGAAGTTTACGGGTTAGACGATTTCTTGGCCTCTGTTATATTGCGATTGTTTCAGCTTTCAACCACGATTACGAAAGGGAAAGAGAAGCTTCCTCTATGGCGCTTAAATTTAGCATTCTCGCAAAACTACTGCGGCTATATAGAGTAACGTTGAGTATAATATTGAGCTCAGTTCAAACTGGGTAGGACCTTTCGACGCCGTTGGAAACCACTCGAGGTTTTAGACAAAGCGATTCACTCAATCAATCTGATGCGCTGGAAAGCATAATAAGAGCTGTCAATTTAAAGTGCGCTTCTGCTGGGAAATGCGCGCAGTATTTTCCAGTTCAGAAAAGTAAGCGAAAGAAGTTGGTCTAGCTGTAAAAGGGGACAAGCCAAAGTACCTTCTGGAAACACATAAAACGTTTCTCGCGTTTTGGGACACACGTCACTGCTGGCAGCTATAACTTTGAAGTAGTGAAGGATTTTGTCTGACCAGGCAAGGTCTATGGTCCATTTTCACCGGATCACGGCAGCTACGACAGTGGTCGTTTGACTGCAAACCCATTCGAGCAGCCAAAAGTGCAACCACATTCAAAAAATTGCAGTGTAGTAAGCTTCTTCCTTAAATTACTCCTAAATTCTATGATCTATGGTTTGCTCCAAAGCAACACTGTTGTTCCAGTATTTCTGCTTTATTTTTTTTATTTAGTTTATTTATAACCGACTTCAAAAAAGGCTATTAATTTTTTTCTGTATGTTACCGCATAACTTTGGGCCACGTAATCCAATTTCGATAGTTTTTCAAGGAAAAGGTTGTTCCTCAAAGGTGGTTCCCATACTCTTCTTCTTCTTCTTCCCATACTAATTTCATTTAAATCCGATCGTTGGATCATAAAGATCCTAAATTGGTACCAGTTGCGTTTTTTACTTAAAAATTACTTGTTTTATATCCAGTATATACTATATAAGTATATTTTTGTTTTTCGGCCAATATTCCCTTCAAGTTGTTTTACTTTTACATCTTCTACGTAAATCTTCATTTATTTTATTGTTACAGCTTGCAGCTGTAAGTTCATGTTACTTTTGTTTTCACTACGCCTGCTTAAGCTCTTAAAGCTCAATATGAACTATTTTATAGTAGGAAAATAACGAAGCAACAGGTGATGGGCCTTATTTTATAATTAGCAATAGTGTGGAGAAATTTTCAACCGCAATTGAAGCGAACTTTAAGTGTCGCTATGTACAGGCAAGTGCCTACATAAACAAGAAAAACAAGTATTTACTTGCTCCCCACAAGCGCCGAAGGTATAGAGAGTGCATATATGTATATTAGGGCGGATCGATTTGTGGGGTCCCAAAAAAATTAACAGAGGAACATTGCGATTATGATTTTTTCGGTAATTTCAATCGTTTTTGCCCAAGAAACTATAGGTCTAAAATAAATTTCGAGCCAGCGATTTTTTCTATGTAGTTTTTTTTTCGCTGAATATTTTAGGCTTTTTAAAAATGGAAATTGCATGATGAAAAAGTCAAATTTCGTGGAATTTCGCAACAATGTTGTCGATTTTCGGAAAAAAGGCGTTAAAATCCAAAAAAAAAAAGTTCGGAAGGGCCTTCTGGCAGCCCTCAAAAGAAAAAATTAATGCCAGAAATGGATTCCTCGAGCCCAAAAACCCCCAGATACACATTTGGGCTAGATTTCAATACAGCTGTTTCAACAGGTGAGTCACTTTTTGAAAAAAAAAAAACTATATAGAAAAATTGCTGGCTCTAAATTCATTTTAGACCTATGGTTTCTTGGGCAAAAATGCTTGAAATTACCCAAATAACCATAACCGCGATTTGCTTTTGATGCAAAAAATTTGATCCGCCCTAATATATATGTATTTTCACATATATACATATGTAAGTATATATATGTATGTACCCTGCAGTGAAACCCCAAACTAGTTAGGAAAAATACTAGTTTACAACTAGAATTTCCTGACTGACACCGAACTAGTTCGAAAATGCCCAGACATGTACCAAGTACAAAACGATTTTTTCATGCCCAAGTTTGTTTGACTTCGTCAGTTTAATAGAGTAAAGTACACAAAATATTATAACTTTTATTTGGGTATATTGTAAACCATTAAAGCGAGTACATATTCAATTATACCGGACTTGTTAAATAACGATTATTAATCATAATGATTACTGATTAAAGCATGTTTTTTTGGATAACCGTTTAATGATAATTAATATCAATATTAGCACCTTAATTAAATAAAAATCTTTAATTAATTAATTCATTTTAATTATATGATTATTTTGTTATTACACGATTAATATAACTATTTGATTAATTTCAATTATCAATCAACAAGCCAAACTATGGACAAAAATTAGGAATATTTAATAACGGCATGAAATATTTATTTATTTTATACTTATCCAAATCTCAAGTTTTAAGCGTCAATTATTACTTTCATTTAATTTTAAGAAGAAAGAACTGCTCAAGTAGCACACTGGTGCATAAATTGGTGTAGATTTACGAATTTCGGTATAAATCTGATTAATTGCACCAAAATTCACAAATTTACACCAAGTTATACACCAGTGTGCTACTTGAGTGAATTGTGCAGGTAAATCTAAGACTGCTAAATAAAAATGTGTAATATTTTAAAGTGTACGCAATCGAAAATAATTTTATTGTATATTCAGGAATTCATTTTATTTTTGACTCCCAAAGAAGTGGTTTCAGTCCATAATTGAACTAGTATTTTTCTGTCTATTTTGAACTAGTATGAGACTGGTATATTTCTGAGAAAAATCTGACAATTGCCATCTCGTAGGACATCCCCATGTTAAATATACCAGTGGATTGCATGGAAAAAAGGTAGTCGGCTGACTAGTCGGGCATGCGGTTCATACTAGTTGTGAGGTAGTTTACAACTAGTACATTTGACTACAGGGTATATACGTGAATGGAAGCGCTTGTGACCACTTTTTCATGCACATAGCTGGCAGCGCTAAAAAATACAGCTAATGTATGTGCACATTGCACAGTTACTTGTTTAGCAAAAACAATCAAATGTATACACATAAGTACATATGTACATATGTACAGTGGCGGATGTAGGATTTTACTAAGGGGTGATTTTAGATTTTTAAATTTAAGACCTATCTGGTTTCAGGATAGTTTTCAAAAACTATCTACAAATATCTTTCGGACGTAGGTATAGATTGTTCGCAATCTTAAGACCGAGAATTTGATGGAGCTCCAGCGATTAACAATAAATTACGAGGAACCCAAGCGCAGGTACATACAATTAGATTTTTTCTTGCCATTTATGTGCACTGTACTCCACATATCGAGCCCTAACCGCCAAAATGACGTAAGCGACATTTTTTTCAAAATCTTCTTTTTGATGCAGAAATGCATCTAGATGCTCTAGGAATATTTCTGCATCAAAAACAAAATTTTGAAAAAAATGTCGCTTAAATTATTTTGGCGGTTAGGGCTCAATATGTAGTTTTAACTGAGCTAAAAATGCAGCTTGTGATGTAAATAGCTGGCATCAATAATGCGTTGCGGACTATTGCAGCGTTTTTTCAAAAATAAAATCGAAGAAAAAAATTAAATAATGGTACGAGCAGTATTAACGTACATTGAACTTTAGCCAGAAATCTTCGAAGCTCTTTAAGAGATGACAGTATGAAAAAACGCCAAATCAGCAACACAAACTTCCCAGTAACTGGCCGCAATCGCTACTTTGGAAATTTAAATATCTTGTAAAATAATGCAGTCGGTACACTCCATCGTTTTGCCTTCCAGTAAATAATTGCAATCAGAAACGCAAGATTTTTCCGAGGCTATGGAATTGGCGGAAGATGATGTGCATGAATTTGAAGACAAGCGACAAAAGCCAGTTTCAAGAAACTTTCGGAAATGTGAGCGAAGTATGCAAAGAATACGACCTCGATATCAAGAAACCACGCATCAGCAAATGCTATAGAAATAGTTTTTTCTCCCGAATATCAGTACAGCTTCGATAAATGTAAGAAACCTTATGAATTTTACTAAAGTGTTCTGAGTTATTCAGAAAATAAATTTTTATTGGACGCTAAAATGTAGAGCAGACGAACGGATGGTCGGAATTTCCAAATCGCGCATTTGACCGAATGGGAGAGAGGCGGGGAGTTAAATCACCCCATAACTCCGTCACTGTATATTTATTTATATATGTGCGTATACATAAAATTTTATATGTACATTCATCTGTAGTCATTCGCTTATTAAAAATCATATTAAGCTGTAGGAAATTTTTTCCCGTCAGTTAAAAAAGTTGTTACCATGACTATCATTGTTGCTGTTGTTATTGTAGACCAAAACATACAAGTTTTCCTGTAGGCGGTACATTCACAAAATCACATATCCTGCAGGGCAACTTTATCAATTAATTTTCTGTTATTATTATTGAGGCGTAACTTTTAGCAATTTTATTTAGCTGTGTATCACGATTTGCTGTTTCCATTTTTCACAACAAACACATTGTGGTACAAAGCCGAATAACATTATTAAAAAGAAAATGCTATTACGCCACAATAACAACAACAGAAATTAGTTTAGGATGAGCCTGCCTAAAACTGTACAATAATTGTAATTAATGGAATTACATAGAAACAACCACCCTGCCACCTTATGTTGGTAGGTTGAGTAAGGAGAAGGTGTATGGTTAGCTCAGGGGTTAGTGTTTCTGAAGTCAAGAGAAAAAAGTTTTATGAGGAGAGTTGGTGTTCTTAGGGTTGCCAACATTTTCTAGGGTATTTCTAGTACTTTTTTCAAAAAAAAAATCAGAAAAAATATATTACACTTGAAATGTTATGTATACATCTTTTCTTTCTTATGCATTTTTTTTTATAAAAAATATATTTCTTAGCAGTTTTGGCAGTTTTTAGGAATTAAGAATAAGAATTTAAGCTCTCGGAAATACTTTACTACAAGCGTGGACAATTGCTGGCCTATGCCGGTGGCATCGACATCATTCGTAACAAAAAACGCCAAGTCTGGTCTGCCGTTTGCAGGTTGGATGCGGAAACAAAGCGAATGGGGCTGGTCTTGTTGTCAAAAGATCATTAGAGAATTCCTTTTATTTGGGAGCAGCTCTATCACTCTAACGGGGATAATAATATCAGCATAGAAATCGCAGAATAACCCTTTGCAAGGCGTGCTACTTCGGGTTGAGTAGGCAAGCTAAATAAGTTACTTAGTATGCTGTTGTTGTTTTTGGCTACCTACTTAAATTTTCGTATAATTTCCCGAAAGACGCTTATGCAAATTATTAATGATTCGAGCACACTTTATCATATGCAACTCAGTCGGGTTAAACCGGGGCACACCGCTACTAAAAATTCAATACAAACATTTCTCTGTCAAATGCAGATATCTGCTTCTGCTTATATAAATATAAATCTGAATTCATTGAAATCAACTATCGAAATCCCCAATCGGCCTATGCCTATGCACATGGCATTTTGTACATATGTATGTACATGCATAAGTGTCACTTCTGACCAACTTAGTGAAGCGACCGCAGTTGCGGTTAGAATTTAGCTAATTAACCCAAATAAAGTGCTTTACAAACACAATTTAACATACGTACATACTAAAAAGCAGTATGTATGTACATAAAAATAGTTATGTACCCAGGCAGCAAAGAAAGTTACGTTTTGCGACAGTTTGTTTTTTGTGCATTCTTAACGGAAAACGATATCGATTTTCCGTAATTTTGAGTATCAGCAAAACTTCCGAAAACCTCCCTGCTATTTAGTGTTATACAAAGAGGTCTTAACACAACGAAGGGATGGTGCGCCAAAGTGGGTTTTAACATTAACTCCTCCAAGACGACCAACGTCTCCTTTACCAAAAGCACAAATCATCCAGACATGAGGAGCATGACTCTGATTGGGTCGGAGTCAGTGTTTTCGCGGAGGTTAAGTATCTCGGTCTGATCCTAGATTCCAAAGTTCTGTGTGAACCTTAGGTTGATGCGACCATTTTCAAGGCTAAGAGGACACTGATGGTATGTAGCCCAAAGTTTCTGAGATGGATTTACAGTATAATAGTATCGTAATTACCTGTGGCTTGGGCTTCGAGAACTAGTTCATTTACGGTCTCTCACAAAATTTCAAAGTCCGTTGACAGCACTTGAAGTATTTTTCGACCTTGAGCCACTACAGAACAGGTAGTCAAGCATACTCTTCAGAATTTCGCTAGACATGGCTTCGGTAGAGGAAAAGAAATAAAGGAAAAGCCTACAGAAATAAAGGAAAAGCGAGGATGCCGCCTCCCTCTATAGTTGTTTTCGAGACAAAATTCGAAATAGAATTCAATGAAAAATCAAAGAGCATATTGCGACGTTTTACAACCACAGTTGCAAATTTTCGATAAATAGGTTTTGAATGCACACTTTGGTGGCAAAGTGTATCCGAAAAACGTTAAAAATTTTATTCCATTTTCATATATATGTAAGTTTACGAATATTTTACTTAATGGGTATTATATCTATGCCTGTTTGTACATTAGCGAATATGCGTCAGAGAAGTGCCTGCGGCAGCTGCAGTTGGTGGTAATATTATTTCAATGCAAACTATGCAAATGCTACTTAATGTCACGACCACACATGTTTTCCACAAAAGTTAAACCACTTTACAACTTTTTTCATAATATTTATATACATAAATACTACAGCCAACATTTGGTATGATTTTAATGCCTTTTTCTTACCTGACGCGAAAGCACGTTGGCCACATCGTTTGATGCCTGAGAATCGGTTTCGACCTCCTGTAGGAATGTTTCCCATGCTTGGAAAATTGCCTGATGGCAGGCGGGTCTGAGGAAGAGAACAACAATTTTATTGAGCTTAATTAAACTAGAAATATAGGTACATATGTTTAGTTATAGATCGTTCAAAAAAAAATTACCCGCAGCCTGGAATAATTCATTCTTGCGTATTTTTGGTTGGTGGATCGGAATCAGAGATGTGAGTTTAAAAGTAGATGTGTTTTGCTCTTCTAAACTCCATCTACATCGTTGTTCTTTCAACACAAATTTTGTTTGGAAAAATGTAATTGAAGGGCAGATAAATTTTAGAACCTACTTGAGAAAACGGGACTCAATGAAATTTAGTTTCTTCTTTAACTTTTTGAAGAATTTTATTCAGTAGCACAAATTAAGTAGCTCCTGAAGCATTTTCTTTTTGTAATTCTTACTTGCTAAAACACCAGAAAGGACTGAAATTTCAAGTTTTTTTTAAATTGGTTTTGGAAAATATTCACCAGTGGTGGATCCAGCGGGGGGGTTTTGGGGGTTAAACTACGTGTCGGTTAATTTGCGAACCCACGGGGGGGGGGGGGGTTTTAATATGGCGTCTGTGTATTAAAACACCCCCCGTTGGTCTGCCACTGACTGACTCGTACTGTTTTTACGGTTAGAAGAGAAAAACGAACCAACTTTCAAATATTCGTATTCACATATTCCGATTTTGCGATCTAAAATACGTTTGCGCTGTAAAATTTTTTTTTTAATAAATTTACATAAATCAACTCTCTTTGTTTAGAAAAGTTATAAAAAATATTAAACGATTATAATAAATAATGTATTTATATTCTCACCTTTCTTTGCGAAGTTCTGCATTCTTTTTACGAAAATTGGAGACTAAAGTTTGTAGGGCAGTTGCATGTTCCTCGTATAAATGGGAAAGGGTTTCGGTAAAATCAGATACTGCAAACAAACAAAATCAAAATTGAATTAGAAGTTGGCTAAACAAAAAAAAAATATAATAATTTAATAAAATCCTACTAATATTATAAAAAAATCAAAAACACGAAACAATCAATATGCTGACCATAGCATGGGCCAAAAATAGTAAAACTGCGTTTTTTGTTTTTCCTTCTGACATACAAATTTTTTTAAAAGGACTTTACAAAGTTATTTAAAAAATGCAGTTTAATGTAGAGCAGCAATATGGGTACCAAACGAAAGACAAAATTCCGTAGAATTAAAAAAAAAAAGTTTGCATCACAAGGTCAAATTGGTACTAAAAATTTCCTTTCAATTAATTTTATTTTTTCAAGCTAATAAAGTTAGAAGGCCGACATTCGAGGATGTGGTCGTTTGTATATTAATCCTTAACAGCTAATTATTTCAAAAATAAATATTTGAAAACTTTCAAGGATATTCAGGGATACAATTTTAAAATGACATGTTCCATACTTAAAAAATGTTCTCTTTTATTTTATGCTCATATTGGTATCCTATTTTCCACTGATTTTTTTTAAAGATTTTTTTTTTTTTACAATTAATAATATTCTTGTAATTTCAAAGTGGTTAAAAAAAATTCTGACGTACAGGACAAAAACGAAAAACGCAGTATTACTATTATATTTGTTGTCTATCACGCTAAAATGTCTGGAAGCATTTGAATACGATTTGGTAAACAAATAGACTATGACCTATATTATCATATAGGATATTTTTCGAAAGTTAAAATTAATAATTTAATGAGCTAAGTGAAGTCTTTATCACAACAATCTGGCCATCAAACGAAAAGGGTTAAAAAGGGCTTATTTCGGAAATAGAGGGTTGCCACCTGTTAAAAAAGCTTAAATCAATTTAATCAAGAATATAAGTGAAATATTTTAATATGGGTATCAAACGAGAGAGATTTAAAAAAGCTTTATTTCAAACATATCTTTGAAGAGAGCTGCTACCTTTTTTGGAAGAAGTTTTATCTATTTGGAAATAATTTTTGACGAGGAGTGACAGCAGTTTTGGAATTAAATTGGCAAGTGAAATGAAGTCCTAAACATATAATAAATGTGAAAATTTGTGAGCGAGTGTGTGAGTATGTTTGTTGACCTTAGTTTATATAAATTTTGACATAGAGATAGCTTAGGACCTGCCAACTGCTTAAAAAGTTAAATTATTCTATTCAACAATTTTATTGAGCTTCAGGCCGTTTTTATTGAAAAACTATTGTGAAAAAACAACAATAATTTATAACAAGTAAGAAAGTCTAAGTTCGGGCGGAGCCGAACATTAAATACCCGGCGCAAGTATTAAATATATGTTTTTTCACCCTTCCGAAACCTTCCGCTAGATGGTAAGCCGAGGTGTATCAATTTTGAGTAAATTAGCGTCCTTCAATTTCGAA